CACCAAAAAAAAAAAAAAAAAAAAAAAACCTTTCAAAAGTATATTAATAATTGTTGTCAATGTTGTCACAAATACTGGTAAAATAACTTTCTCTAAAAAATAGTGCAAATGACCCAAATTCTAAATGAGAGATCTTTGTGTCTTTTGTCTCCAGATGGTTGCTGGGTTAAAATGGTGCCATTATATATTCTAAGATTTATTTATTTATGCATACAAGACCTGGCATACAGGCCAGAGATGCAGGGAGTGACAGGATTCAGCAGAGACAGAGCAGGGAGCAGAACATGTAGATCGACTGAAATACACTGCTGAGGGGAGCAGCAGGTGAGACAGGAGAGGTCTGCCTCGCCATGTGGATTTCTCCCTGGCCGGTTGGGATTGAACTCATGCTACAAAGGCTGTAGATTGTTTCATAGTGCGGTGCTTAACCCCTTGCACCACCAGGGAGTCCACCACAAAAACAATTTCAAAATGCAATGGTTTAATTAAAGCACTGTTGAGCACCTTCATTGACTTTTCCTCCCCTTGTCCAAGCCAAAAAAAATAAATAAACAAAAAAAAACCTCTGGCATATGAATTTGTTTCATTTGTAATGCTGCATTTTGAAATTTGTATCCTAAGAAAAACTAAAGCTATTTCTGGTATCTCTATCTTAAATCTGTTCTATCATTATTTAAATGGTGGTATACTTCTCCTATAAAACTAAGGATCTCTTAAGTTCAATAAAATGAAAATTTGACTACTTAATGAGCTTTTGGTTTATATTTGCTTCTTAATGTAGGAAATCTAAACTTTGTTGTTTGTAATTTCACCTAAAAAAAAAAAAAGACGTGTTTATGTATGAGTTACCCAGTAGAAAGGAATAATAGCATAACAGCGCTTACAATGTCCTGAGGTGAAAAATGTGAGCCTGAGTTGTTCATTAGACAAAGTTATGTTGGACAAGGCCTGCGTGTGGACAAAAAGTTGGTGGAGTGACCTATGGAGTTTCTCTGGCCAGGCGCCTGACTTGTGGCAGGGCACCGCCCCCTGGCGGCGACGGAGGGGCGGCGGGAGGGGGCGGGGCCGGGCTGGGGAGCTCCGGCAGGTGCCTCAGCCTCTGAGGTCGCTGCTCAGAGACCCCGGGGACCCCACATCATCCGCCCTGGGCCCCTGGACACCTCGGACCGTCGCGGAAACAGTGGGCCAGACCCCGAGGATGGGTCTGAGAGGGGGTCTCTGGCCCGTCCCCGGTGGGCCACTGCGGCTGGGCCGAGAGTCCACGAGCAGCGTGCGCGGAGCGACCCGGTACTGATGCCCTGGGGACGCCAGGGTTGTCCCAGGAATATTCTCTCTCTGCCTAGAATGCAGGAGGCAGACTTGTCAGAGGCAAGAGATCGGGGTGCTCCGCTGGGGGGGGGGCGCCAGGAGAGACCTGTCCCTGCCCCTGTCCGCCTCTCTGCAGGCGGCTGCCCTGTGCGTGGACAGTGTCCGCGTCTCCAGGGTCCATCCACAATGTCACATGTGGTCTTTTATTCCCGTCCGCGTTTTCACTGAGCTTTTTAAAAATAGCAAATACACGTCTGTGTGTAAACTCTATCTGCTCTTCATGAAATACAGCCCCTCCCCCCATTCTAGAGAGGCCATGGCCTGAGAAGGTCAGAGTGAATGACCTTCACTGTGGAGCACTCCCTGGGACACCCCGCAGGGCATCGGATTGGATTCGGGTTGGGCGGGTCAGCGCTGAGGTGAGAGTAGCTATAGATTTCCTGTGGGGGAGCCTCTGCTCTGTGCGGCAGGGTCGGGGTACACACTGGACAGCGAGCAGGAGCGCCCGGAGACCCAGGATTGTGAAAACTAACGAGGAAGAGCAGCTGGGACACTGCTCAATAAGCACTAACTGAAGAACCAGACAGTCAATCACAGAACTTGGGAAAACAGGTGCCTTAGATGCAAATAAACTATGTTTTCTCCAGAGTAGATTCACACCTTAACGTTATCATCGACTGGCATACATCCCAGCTCGGGTGTGTGTCCTCTGTTCGGATCAGGCCCTGCTCTCCCTTTGTCCCAGTATGGCCAAAATGACCCTCATCCCTAGTTCCTGTGCACACATGGAGGCTCCAAGCAACATCAGGAATTCCCCACTTACCACTGATCAGGGCTGAGGACTGACACCCTGGGAGGTGTGACAAAACCATCAGGCTAGATCTGGAAAAAAAAAAAATTACTTTTTGGTTTCCCATTCTTTTTAAAATATGTAGGCTCGGGCCTGCCTGGTGGTGCAAGTGGTTAAGCATCAACACTATGATGTAATCCGTAGCTACTACATCAAGAAATTGATCCCCAGCCAGGGAGGTGACCCCATGGTGGAGGAGACCTCTCCTCCCGCCCACTCTCCCCTCAGCAGTGTATTTCTGTCAGTCGGCAAATCTGCTCCCTGCTCTCTCTGCTGAATCCTCTAAGCCCACCACCTCTGGCCTGTACCCTAGTTCTTGCACGCACAAATAAATAAGAACTAAAAAAATAAAAAAGTAAGCTCTTTGCCTATTGGTAGGAGACAGTGGCTCTGCAAGTGGATATTGGAATCAATCAACCCTGTGTTTATAATCAATTATTCCCCATATATATCCTTGTTTATTCCTTTCTGTAATTTCAGAAAAATAAAAGAGACTCATTAATGTATCTTCAAATTTCTGAAGATTACAAACTATAGGGTCCCTCCTGGTGACGCAGGGGTTAAGTATCAGTACTATAAACCTATCCACAGCCACTGCAGGACGAGTTGGAAACTGCCAGGGAGCTGACTCACATGGCTCATGGGGGAGGGGCTGCTGCCCTCAGCAGTGTATTTCAGTGGATCTGCCTGTTCTGCTCCCCACTCTGGCTCTGGTGAATTTTTCTCACTCCCTGTAATGCTGGCCTACATCCCAGTTCTTGTAGCATAAATAAATAAAATAAGTATTTTAAAAAGATTATAAATTATTGCTTAGCACAAAGGATAAATAAAATATAATTTTTATAACAAGATTAACTCCAAATCCAGCTAGCTCTCTCTTTTGTTGAATCATATTTTAGAGTGTGTTTAGGGAAAAAGAAATCACCAGAAAGGATCTATAATCATCACACACTTTAACATAACCTGATTCCAGTAAGATAGTAACAGGCCATGTGTCACTTTCAGTGTTTCTGTGGCATCCCTATTTGTGGGTGTCTGTGTCACATGTGGTAATGTCCTCTATTTCTATGGTGTGATCACAAGATTTCCATGGAACAGGGTCAGGTGGTTGATGTCAGTGAAAAAAAAGCACATATTCTACGTTTGCTCTGGGTGCTGTATTTGTTGCGTGCATCTGAGTAAATAACACATTAAACAGGATGTCACTGATGGGTGAGAGTCACTCGGATGGTTGAGGTAAGGAGAGTAATTAGAAGAGGTGAGCTGCCCTTCCTGGGTTAAGGGACGACTCACTGTTGAAACACCTGTGTGCAAGGGTCCTGGATAGTATAAACGTGAAATTTCTGAATGACTAAATGAACTCCATTAAGTGGGTGAAGAAACACAAGGCCACACTATCATAATCTTCTTCTCTGAGTAAGCACAAATGTGTGGCTGTCATTATAAGTATTCCACCTGCCTTTCATGACAATTCTTCACCTAAACATGATTCACACACGATTTCAATATTGTCTGGTATCTAAAATTTAAATCAGTCATGCTATGTTAATTTTATATCTTGACTCTTTCACTCCACAACATGGAGGCAAGGTGACCCACATATTGGATTTAGCTAGAGTCTGTATTTTTGCTGTTGTATAGTATTCCACCAAATGCAAAGTGACTTCTCCCTTCTGTTCTACATGCACAGTATATTTTTTCATAAAATTTTTATGTGCATGCTGGAATAAAACTATATTTGCAATTTTGTATCGTTTTTATCATTTAATGTTATAACATAAGTATTTTGCAAGTCATTGATAACTATTCAGAATGATGGTACCTAATTGCTACATTTATTGTCACATATTTGACTGTTTCCTCGAGTTCTGATGGAGATCGTTTCCTGTATTTGTTAGTACAAGAAAGTGCTGGTTAGCATCTTTATGGATATACATTTTTATTTGTGTCCACAACATTTCCTGAGGTCATTTCTCAAAAACTGCATTACTATTTCTTTTAATGCACATGCATATATATAATATTCCAAATTCTAATAGCTGAATCCAAGTTCCCCACAGAAGGGCGATACAAAATTTTCCTGAATGAGCGAGAACCCCTATTTCAGCGGGTTCTTGCCTCCACGTCATTCATCTCACCATCTTGAAGGCTCTGACATCACACACTCCTGCTTCCTTCACCCCTCTGCGCGGGCCTCCCCCTTCCATGACTCTCCGCGGCTGCGTCTCCCCATGGCCGGGCTGACCCGTCCCTAGGCCCCGGCTCCATCCCCCCTGTGCCCCTGGCCAGGCCTGGGGCCTCAGCCCTCCATTATCCCGCCTGGGCGGCACCGCCCCCACCCAGCCACCAGGCGGCGCGCGCCTAGTCTCCGTGCCTGTCACCACCGCGAGCCTGTCCTTCCTCGGCCTCGCCCCGCCCCCTGCGTGTTGACATCACGTCCCTGCGCGCTGACGCGGGATCTGAAGTGGCGGAGATGCGGGGCCTGGAGCTCCTGCCATGTTGGAGTGGACCGAGGCCAGAGGAAGGAGCAGCCCCGGGGCAGCGCGCAGGCGGGGAGCGCGCCAGCTGGTGGCGGGGCGGGGAGAGGCAGGTAATAATGGGGGGCGGGCGCCCCGTCACTCCCTTGGGGGGCAGCGGGTTCGGGCCTGTGGGGTCGCGGGTGAACAATCCTCGCGTGTTTTCATTCACGGGGCGTGACTTGCTGTGGAGTCGCGTGGAAATTCTACGTTAACGGCGTCGTGGAGACGCGGGGTGTTCGCCTCCGTGTAGTTGGGTTTTCTGAGCTTCGGCGCAGCAGGACGGGCGGGGGCGCCCCGTGAGCCCCCGGGTTCTCCCGCTGGCCCCGACCCTGGGCCCGCCCCGACGCCCGCCCCTGCAGCCCTGGCCCTGTGCCTGCTCCCGCCTCCCCCGCTGCTGGGGTCTCCTTGGCACTCGCTGCTCCAGACTCGGGGTGAAGCTCTTGCCTGCGGGAGCCCCGTTTCTTCAGGAACCACCCGGAGCAAGAGGGAGGTGAGTGTTAGGGGGAAAGGATGTCCTGAAATAATCTCATACAGGCTTTGTGGACTCCACCCCCACTCCAGACTAAAGCCATCAGGACATTGGAAAGACAAATCCCATCACCAAGGGGAGGGTGGCTGGGACCTGAGGGTGGAGTTGGGCAGCCAGGTTGGATATAAAAACCAAACACGTGGGCCTTGCTCGCTCTCTGGCTCGCGATCGCTCGCCTCCTGGTTTCACCGCTCCTGGCTGGCGGCCAGCTCTCAGAGCGCCATTTTGGGATTCCTGATCGGCGGATCGGGTAGGACTCATTTAAAACTTTGTCTCCCACTTTTCTCCCAGAGTTGTACATTTCCTCATTTCCCTTTCCCTTGTAAATAAACCTTTTATTACCTTTCACGTGTGCCTGCAGTAGAGCATTGATAAGTCCTTTTAAGCGCGCGGGTGAGGACCCACAGTCAGGCACCCCGTTTTGTATCGGGGCTGCTCTACAACAGTTTGGCGCCCAGCGTGGTTTCCAAGTTACACCCGCGGTTGACCAGCCCAAAGTAACATTCCTTGCGTTGGTCACCATAAGCGCACTAGTTCTGCAGGACTAGCAGTATAATATTTGTCTCTAGTCCTGTATCCCAGAATCCATATGTTTGATCTTCATCACCATGGAAATGGTGGCAAAAAGTGAAAGGGGGAATTGTTAGGGGGAAAGGATGTCCTGAAATAATCTCATACAGGCTTTGTGGACTCCACCCCCACTCCAGACTAAAGCCATCAGGACATTGGGACAAATCCCATCACCACCAAGGGGAGGGTGGCTGGGACCTGAGGGTGGAGTTGGGCAGCCAGGTTGGATATAAAAACCAAACACGTGGGCCTTGCTCGCTCTCTGGCTCGCGATCGCTCGCCTCCTGGTTTCACCGCTCCTGGCTGGCGGCCAGCTCTCAGAGCGCCATTTTGGGATTCCTGATCGGCGGATCGGGTAGGACTCATTTAAAACTTTGTCTCCACTTTTCTCCCAGAGCTGTACATTTCCTCATTTCCCTTTCCCTTGTAAATAAACCTTTTATTAACCTTTCACGTGTGCCTGCAGTAGAGCATTGATAAGTCCTTTTAAGCGCGCGGGTGAGGACCCACAGTCAGGCACCCCGTTTGTATCGGGCTGCTCTACAACATGAGGACAAGTCGCTGCTGGTGGCTGATGCAGAGCGGGCCAGTCAGGGGACCCGGGGTGGGGCTGTCTGTGGGTGGAGAGCTCTGCGCGGGTCATTTTGGGTCCTGGAGGAACGTGGGGGTCAGGTCGTTCCTGAGTGTGACCCCATGGGTGGCCAGCGCCCCGATGGAAAGCGCGTCCCCCGTGTTTGTTCCAGCGCCTCCCTACTGCACTGATCACCCCTGTGGTGGGTTTGCCGGGCTCCCCGCTGTGTTCCACTGATTTGTGTGTTTAATTTCTGTGAACTTAGAATATAATTTGGGGAATTATAAGTTTACATGTGGTAATCTTCTCTAGGTCTGACACCGCCTCCCCACTCCAGGTCCAGCAGGCAGGAGGGCAGAGTCGTGTCCCAGTCTCCTGGGGCACAAGTTCTGACCCAGGGGATTGCTGGTTCCTGGGGTTCTGCATTTCTCACAAAGGGTCTGAGATGCTGCCCCTGCTGATCTTGGGCCCACATGTGAGGGCTGCAGCGTTGCTTCCCTGTTGTGCAGCTGATGTGGTACTTCAGAGCCTGGAAGAGGGACCTTGGACCCGTGGACACTGCCTCAGGAGGCGACTTTACACTCTCCCTTGAAGAGAGTCCAGGCTTCCCTGACTCTTGACTGACCAAGAGCCACACAGCCTGCCACACGCTGGCTACAAGTGTTTAGTTTTCTAAAATGGGTTATTATTAACCGACTTCTTGCAGTGAAAGCAGTGGCCCTCTCTGTGTTACTAAAGAACACACCCAACAAACCTTTCAGCAGGGTCATCTGGGCGCTGTCACTAACAGGGAAGGAAACTTTCTAAATGGGGAGCATCTTTGACACTGAAGGGTTCTTTTTCTAAGATCTTGAGATATGTTCTCTATAGATGGTGCTAAAAGGATCCCTCCTATTTCAGGGATTGAGTAAACCACAATGACTCATGGAAACTGTATATTTTGGAGAAAAACCCCTTTATGTGTCTTTTTTAAAGATTTTTTAAAGATATTTATTTATGCAAGCACTGGGGTGCAGTCAGAAGCTTGGGAGGGAGAGAGAATTGACCAGAGCCAGAACGGGAAATAGAACAGGCAGACTGACAAAATACAGTGCTGAGGGATGCAGCTGGCGTGGCAGGAGAGGTCTGTTGCACCATGTGGGACCCTCACCAGTGGCCAGGGATCAAACTGGCGCTGCAGAGGCTGCAGGCAGCTTCCCAGCCCAGTGCTCAAGTGCGGTCCCACTAGGGAAGGCCCTTTTTTAAAGCTTTTAAAAAAATTGCATAGAAAAACTGTGGTGCAGGCCAGATGTGTGGGAGTGTGAGAGGATTCACCAGAGACAGAGTAGGGATCAGAACAGGAGGATCTTCTGAGATACCCACATGGCATGGCCGACCTCTCCTATCTCCCTGCTGCTCCCCCCACAGCAGTGTATTTCGGTCCATCTGCCTGTTCTGCTCCCCACTCTGTCTCTGGTGAATCTTTTCACCCTTCATCACCTCTGGCCTGCACCCGGCTCTTGTATAAAAGTAAATCAGTCTTTAAAAAAAGCATTTTCTCTAACTGTTTCTCTAACACAGCAGGCTTAATTGCTGCACCTACCAGAGAAAGTTCATAGAGATCTATTCTAGATCTGGTGAGGGAGGGGATGCCTCTGCAGGGCCAGAAGTATTTTTCAGGATGAGACTCCCCTTTAAGAGAATTTATTTATTTATTTTGTTTTAGGGTCTTCCCTGTCCTTAAAGACCATCTCTTTTTTTCTTCTTTTCTTACATCCTTGTTCATTTTTGTCTAGTTACTGGTTTCTCCGCCAGGGGTGGTCCCCATAATGCTCCCACCACCATAGCAGCTGTGACCCATCACCACAATCCTTTGTGCTCTTCCCTCCCCTCTGTTTAGCCCCCTCCCTCCCACTACCTGCTGGATGCCTCAGCTCTTGGTCAGCCTTCTAGGGTTGTATGTTTCTTTACATTTTGTTCAGTTTCTCTGTATTTCACATCTGATATTTCTTCTCCTGATTTATTGTGGCCAGCATAATCCCTTCCAGCTTCATCCATATCACCACAAGTGGCATGAATTTGTCTGTTTTCATTGCTGAGTAGTATTGCCTTGTGTATCTACACCACACCATTTTGATCTATTCATCTGTTTTGTGGCATTGAGTTGTTTCCATGTCATGGCTATTGAAAATAGTGCTGCAGTAAATAAAGGAGTTCAGGTTTCCTGGGTTTTTTTGACCCTAGGGTAGATTCCAAGGAGTGGACTCACTGGATCTTATGTAGACCCATTTTCAGTGTTCTGAGATACATCCACACAGCCGACCATTGTGGCTGGAAGAGTATGCCTTCCCACCAGCAGGGTAGGAGGCTCCCTTTTCTCCACTGCTCCTCGAACATTTGTTGTTTCCATGCTTTTTTTTTTTTTAATGTGGAGCATTCTTACTGGAGTGAGGTGTCATCTCTGTGGTTTTGATTTGCATTTCCTTGGCACTAGTGATGCTGAACCGTTTTTCTGTGCCTGTTGGCCATTTGCATGTCTTCCTTCCAGAAGCGTCCTTTAACTTCTGCCCATTTTGGGGACTACATTGTTTGTTTTTTTGAGTTATGTAAGCTCTTTGTAGATCTTTGATAATAGTCCCTCATCTGTCATATGGTTTGCAAATATTTTCTTCCATTCAGCGGGGTCTCTCTTTGTTTTGATCATTGACTCTTGCTGTTCTGAAGATGTTTAGGTTTATGGAGCCCCAACTGTTTACATTCTCCTTTGTTTTCTTTGCTTCTGGAGAAGAATCCTCAAAGACGTTCCTGAGGATTGTGTCATGGAGTTTTTGACTGTGTTCCCTTCTGTGTATTCTATGGTTCCAAGTTCCACATGCAAGTCTTTCATCCACTTGAGTTGGTTTGTGTATAGTGTGAGGTAGTGGTCTATTTAGATTTTTTTTTTCATGTTGCAATCCAGTTTCCCCAGCACCATTTATGGAAGAGGCAATTCTTTTTCCATTGTATATTATTTGCTCCTGTGTCATAGGTTAGTTCCTCATTGTTCTCTGTGTCTGTTTATGTTCCAATAAAGATTTCATTATAACAGCTTTGTAATATTGTTTGATGTCTGGGAGTGTAATACCTCCTTTCTCCCCCACCCCTTTTATTAAGAACTATTGCTACTAGAGGTTTTTGTGATCCCATGTGAATTTGAACCATTTTGGTTCCATTTCATTGAAGAACACCACTGTAATTTGTATTGGAATTGCATTGAATTTGTAAATTGCATACAAATAGGAAGCCCCAACTTGGTTTGTTACGTTTTTCCAGTTATGGAACATTCATAATCAGAGTGTTAATAAAAAAGTAGGTGTTATTTTCTATAATTTCTAAAAAGGTGTTATTTTCTATAAATTCTAAAACAGACAAAGTAGGTCTATTCTCTAGAGATGAAGAAAGAATGTTTCAGATTGCACAACAAAGGTATTTTATCATGTAATAGATGACAAGTTTCTAATCGTATAATATTAGGATATTCTTCCACTTTTCTGCTGATGAAACTGTAAGTAAGTCCGTCCTTTTCTCATCTGCTTTATGTGCCACCAGAGAAAATGTTGCACTCACGTGACATAATTGCAGGATAGTGCCAGTGTGCTTTATAAAGAAATCAAAGAGAGGAATTAATTCACGAAATTCAAAACATGCAACTTTAAAACAGGAAATTGATAATAAGTTAGAGCCACGTCTCTGGTCACCTGTGCCTGTGAAATTTACGATCCTCAATTGTGGGATGGTCATCAGACGCTGGACAAGGCAGGGCCAGATCCACCATCCGTGGACTGTCCTTTCTGAAGCTGTGCCTGGGGTCTGAATTTGTACCTGGCAAGAAAGGACATGTCACTGCCGTCCTGGATGGGCTGGTTCACGTCCTCCTTTCCTTACCTCCTGGGGAGAGGAAAGGGAGGAACCAGATGTTTCCCGAGGGCTGTCTGTAATCATTCCCTCGTTCCTCGCTCCCTCACAAAAGACAACCTGTTGTGTCATGTCATTTATTTACAGCCTTAAAAAGTGCTTCAGTGGCTCCCACTGTCTGCACTCAGGCTAAAGTCCAAGCCTCCAGACAAGCTTGCAAGAGTCTTGCCATCGGCTCCTGCTGTCTCAGGCCCGTGGCCCCTCTCTGACAACCTCCTGTGTCAGGTACCCCTTCCAGGGAAAACTGTGGCATCTCAAGCTCCTTGTCACAACTCTTGCAGCATCTGTTGATGTTCACTGTGTCCCTGATGCCTCCGATGGTGCTCTGAGCTGAGGGCTCAGCTCAGCTGGTGCCCCTGGCATATAGCAAACAGTGGATGCTTGGCAACAACAGGTGAAGGGGTCGTGACTACCTGTTGAGTCAGGGGATACTGGAAACCGATGCTCACGTATAGGAGTAAAAATCTATATCCTCCACCCCAGGCCTACCTGAGCCTAGAACATTCTATTTTGGCAGAGAATGTCGTCTCAGTGCTCTTGCCAGTCAGTTCCTCTCTCTCCTTATTCAATGCAGGTGGAAGCTCAAACCTGCGGGGGGAGTGCTGGTGCAGCCCTGCCCGCCTCTCTCTCAACTGTCAGGGTCCTCGATGCCAGGAATGACCCTGTCAGGCGGGCACTAATCCCTCATGGACAGAGGGGAGGGTGCAGTTGTTGCATCCCCAGGGTGGGGCTTCTGTCAATGGGGAGGACTAAGGTGCTCATAGAGTCTGTGCAGCTTCCATCCCAGGCAGCGACTGGCTCCAGTGGGACCCGGGGTGTGGTGGACAAAGCTGCAGGGCGAGGCTCCTGGGTGGACCGCGGTACATTTTTACCTTATTCCATTGTGTCCTCTGCTCAGAGCACTCAGACCACAGCAGTGATCAGACCTTCCCATGCCCATGTGTCTCCTGGGGATTCCCTCACAGTGTGGGTTCTGACCCAGTGGGGTGCTCAGGAATGAATCCGGACCTCTGTGCTCCTCCGTGCCCAAAACGCAAACTGCCAGAGTCTGGTGGTTTTCCACATCCAGCCCTCCCTCCACTGGGTCCTCCTGACCGTTGCCCCCACCCCATCCCCGCTCTGCCTTCAGCTACCCACAGGGAGATGCTCCTCACCCTCCCCCTGGGCTCGCCTTCTGCCCAGATGAAAGCACAGTGGGTGCTGCCCCACTGGGTTCTGCAGGACCAGGTTACTCTCCTCCCCTACTACATGGCCACAGCCCTGACTATGACTTCACTCCAAGTCTTGGGGGAGCCCTGACAGGGGATGATGGGACTCACACACAGTGGTGACACCCATGCACATTGTCCTGCTTCATTAAGGCAGTGTGGATATTCCAAGTGAAGTGGAGACAAGTAGCTCACTTTTCCTCCACAGATTGTGACGGTCTCAACACTCTTAAGATCCATGAGGAAGGCTCAAGTGTCATTGGGTGGAAATGTGGGTGAGGATGCCCATTTTATTGTGTCTGTACGCAGTTCCATTTCAATTTTGCTCAGATGGGTTGAGCTTTAGACTAGAACATTCACTGCCTTTGTTGAAAATCTCCATGTCAAATACAATACAGGACATGGGCAGACATTGCCCGAGTCTTCTGGCACAGACATTGCCAGTGTCTTCGTGACGTTCTTTCGAGGACGGCTGATGTCAGTTTGTTTAGAGTTAAATATTTTCAGATAAAGATACAATTCCTTTTTGAAAAAAGGGACTTTAGATATTGTTGGTGCGCTTATGGTCCCTTGACATGGCTCTGCTCATTTGCAGAGTTTTTTTTTTTTTTTTCTTCCTCAGTTCCTCATTGGCGTCTTAGCACCCAAATAATTGATGGCACTTCTGGCCTCGTAGGGTGGCAAGCCTTCCCGGAAGTCAGCCCACGGCTGCACTTCTGCATAGTAGAGCTCTCTGTTCTGCTGCCACTGTCTTTGTTGTTGACTGTAGACCCTCTGCTGCCCTCAGGATCTTAGCTCTAGGGGGAGGCAGAAAATGACAGGGTGCCATCTGCAGGGCACTGGGATGGCTTTCAATGTGGGACGAGTTTATTGGGAACACAGGAATTTCATTCTATTCTGTCCTATTTTTCTGGTTTGTGTTTTGGTAACGGCGATGAACTAGTCAGAGCAAGGATCTTCCCGTCATTTCAAATGTTGTGTTATGAAACATCGTGGCTCCACTCACCATTTTGCCTTTTTCCTTTCCACTGGCATGTGCGTGCACAGCTTTTACAGTGCTTGTGTCTGAAAGCTGGACGGGTCTGGATTTTGAAAGAGTGTCTTATTTCACTTTTTTTTTTTAAAACCAAATCAAATCAATATGAAGCTTCTGGGTGAAATAATAAACTTAAAAAATTAGAAATTAAAAAAAATGGCAAAATGTGTTTATTGGTATTAACAGATGAGCAGGAGTCTAGGTTCAGGCCAGAAACACAAACCCCTTCACTGAAATAGTTGAGGTGAGCTTGACTCTCTCTCTACATGAAGCCACTCTGCCCGTGCCTGCCTGACTAGCAGGAAGGCCGCATTTTCATCCTTGTGAAAAGTTCTTGTATGACCACAATGGAATGATTTACTTCAGTTGTCATGTTACTGGTTCCTTTCCCCCTGCCAAGGATCAGAGATGTGAATGCCCTGATGATGTGTTCATCCTAAGAGAGAGCCTGTACCTTCTAGAAAACTTGAAGGGTAGAATAAAATCAAAGTGATCAAGGGTCAGCTATGATTTTTCATCCGAAGAGAAATGCTTTTATGAGCTTGTTGACATTCACCTTCATCATTTTCAATACCTTGAATTGTGAACAGTAATACCCGTGTATCAGGGCAGGTAGGATACATGTAGAATTTCAGAATCACAAAATTAACTCCCCTTCACTGGATGAAGAAACACAAAATCAAATACCATCCTCTGCGTCACTGATTCTGCACAGTAGGTGACCCTCTCAATCACTGTTCCTTTGCTCACCATGACACATTCCCACACAATCATGTATTATTGAATGTATAATAAAAGCAGGCTTTTTATTTTGCCTGGTGTTTAAAATATAAATAAATCATATTATGTTCATTTTCCTCTCTAGGTTCTTTCACCCAACAGTACATGGGCGAGGCGATCCACAGGCTTGGCTGTGGCCAGAGGCTGGTGTTCTCACTGAGTAGAGTATTCTACTCAATGCCAAGTAAGTGTCCCTTTCTATGGCACAGGCACGCTGGATCATTCCATTCATATTTTCTATCCAAGCTGGAATAGCACCACCTCACGAACCATGCACGCCCATTTCTTCAGGGATCACGGTGGCAGTTTATGTATGCGGGACTCTTGGACTGCTCCTGGGGTTTTCACTGAGGTTGTTTCCCAGCATTTGTTCCTGTAGATAAATGAAGTGCCAGGGACATCTCCACAAGTACATATTTTTCCTTTTCCAAAGTCCTTTCCCAAACACTGAACAGCTCTTTCTCAATGGCTGATTCTCAGGCCCCAGAGCCACGGGAGGACGGCAGGGACTTCTGTCAGGAGTGAGGGGAGCCTCACATCCGTGCTTCCCAGCACCACTTCATCCTCGCCCTTAAGGCTTTGGCGCCATCTGTCCCCCATCTGTCCCGCACCGCCAGTCCCGCCCTTCTCCCGGGTGCAACCTCTCCCTGCTGGGCCTCCAGGCGCTCCCTGCTCACGGTAGGTCTTGGACACCATGCGTTTTGGGTCCGGGTCCTCTCCTTCTCTGACAGCTGTGGGGGGCTGGGGGCCTGGGGGATGGCGAGGGTGGATTTCAGCTCCTCGGAGCCCTATTCTTGTCCACTTTGGCACCGAGCCCTTGGGCAGGGGCAGCTCAGTGCACCCCCTCCCCGCCGGCTCTGTCCACGCTGCTCCCCGTGTTCCTCGGCCTGCCGGGCCACAGGAAGTTCCCTGAATATGTGGGGGATGTCTT